ACCAATAAAGCGCAGTTGGTAGTTGCTTGTCGATGGAAGCTGCACAAAGTATTGAAGGATCTCGGACATGGGGGTCGTTGGGGGGTTACGAACACTGAGGGAGATGGACGTTGACGCCGTGGCGACGCCACCATTTTGGCCCAGGTCGCGCAAGAGGGTGCAGTCAACGCTACCGGCGCGTCGAACAATGAAAACGCCGCGGCAATCACCGTGGTTCAAGCAACGATCGGCGCAAGCGTTGGCGTTTGCTTCGCTGGTCTGAGTGATGATAGCCGGGGCTTGAAATGCGGTTGAAAAGCGCAGGGCATTCGGGTTGCCCGATACGGCGCCCACAAACGTGAGGTTAAAGTCGTCTGGGGAGGGCATCATCCCAAAGCGGGCTACCAGGTTGAACTGTGCTGCTTCAGGAAAGCCAGATGTTGTGGTAGTGGTAGTGGTAGTGGTGGTTGTAGTCGTCGTCGTTGTTGTGGTGGTGGTCGTGGTGGGGAAAACGCGAGCATAGCTGAGTGACTGGAGGCCTGTGGCAACGCCTTCATCGACACCGAGATCATCCAGCAGCGTGCAGGACGAGCCCGTGGCTTGCGGCCCCGTGTCTTGTTGGTAAAAGATGCCTTGGCATGCATCGTTGGCAAGACAGGCCTGGGAGCAAGTGGAAATGCCAGTATCGTAGAGAATGGCGAGCGCACGATTGGGGCGAAGGGCCGTTTCGAAGCGACGTGGATCGGTGTTACCGTCCAGCTGACCCTTGAACCTGAGTTCAAAGTTCAAAGCCGGCGCTTCCGTGACCAGCGGCTCGGTTGTGGTGGTACTGGAGCTCAAAAACACGTCCCGTGAATAGCTGTACGAGACTGAGTCTGTGTCACGACCGCCCGCCTCACCTATAGCACACCCAAGAGAAGGGTTTAAAAAAAAAAAAAGGAAGAAGGAATGGACCAGTTTTGAAGGAAGGAGACAAAACCACGTGAGGACAAGCACGCAAAACGAAGGAGCTTTTCGTTGTGGGGCATAGGTGCAAGTGGGACCGCAAGAAACGCCGTGGGTCGAAACGTGTGCAACGAACCAAGGTCAGCAAGAAGGTTGCAGCGCAAAAAGCCCGATGGGGTCGACCAAAAGAAAATTCCACGGCAGGTGCTGTACGAGCGACAGGCATCACCGCATGCCTACCAGAGCACACATGATCAAGGCCAGATCCGCGAGAGAGGGTGTGAGATTTAAAAAAAAAAAAAAAAAAAAAACAACCAGAGAGGCTGAGTGAAAGCATGAGAACACGCACCGACAGGCCTAGGTTGGTGGTTTCTAGAATGATGGCCGTGTCGTCCAGAGCGGTCGTGAAACGAAGGGCGTCGCCCGTGTTGTGGTCGACGTCACCGCGATAGGTGAGACTGAAGCCCTGCAAGGTTGATCATGAGGCACAAGGCGGGCGGGGCGGGGAGCGCAAGTCATTGGAAGGCTGAGAGATTGAGACATGAAGAGAACTGTGCGGCCGGCGCAGCGGGCGTCAAGGTTTTGTGCAAGCCAAGATCCAGCTACGGGTGGACGCACCGAGGGTGTAACGGGGTCCTGGGCGGAGGTGGTGGCCCAAAGGGCCAAGGCAAGGGCGAGACAGAGGCTCGTTTGGGCCATCCCGGCGGTGCCAGGGGCGGTGCAACTAACAGCGTGGAGCCGCCGTGCACCCAAAGTCTGGGAACGCCAAGTGCACAAAGAATCTTGAGAAAGGAGGAACCGAAATGAGGCTCAGCGGTAAAGAGATGTGAACACGCTGCCCCGGATCAGTTTAAGAATAACAACTTTAGTGCCAGCGACGTCGAGTCAAGTGCACAGAGGGAGAGAGAGGGAGAGAGATTGAGAGAGAGGGAAAGGGTGAAGAGCGTGGATTGAGGTGTGTGGCATAAGTGTCTCTGGGAGGTGGTCGTGTAGCTCAAGGCGGGGAAATGAGAATCGTTTTGATGTTTTGTGAAGAGGCGGTGGCAGGCAAAAGGGCGGTTTCGGCGCGGCTGGCTCAAGCTAAGCGGCTGGCATTTGGACTCAAAGACTGTGGCGTGGCAGCGAGGAGGGCTTTGTTTTTGTTGGGACATGTGCCTTTGCTCGGGGAGGGTCGACGTTGGTCGTGCATTGATGGGAATGGCTCGACGAGCAAGCATGCAACACGGGCAAGGCCCCAAGGGCAGCGGATCAAAAGGGCGTCAAGCGGGAAGCGCTGCGCTGCGTACCCGATCCGATCGATGTAAGCAAGAAGATGCTCTCGTCGTCGACGACGCCGCCGACGTTGATGACGCGGATTCCCACAAAGCCCGAGCGAAGAGCAAGGGGTGATGGTGGGAGGGGGGCCTGAAACTGCCGCCGTTATAACACACGCGTCCAAAGGTCAATGTGGGTGATGGCGATCCAGTGGGTGGGGTGGTGTTGTGGTGATGCACGCGGAGGTGAGAGAAGAGAGAGAAGAGAGAGAGAGAGAGTGTGTGTGTGAGAATCATTTTGCGCGACAATTTGCATGCAAGCACGCAACAATACCTGGGTGTGACAACAATTGTTGGCAACAAAGCCAATAAAAGTAATTTACTTTAGCAGTTTTGGTTTGAGCAAATACAAAAAGTATTTTACTACTGCACATGAAGCGGGGGCAAAGCCGGCTGGTTATGGCTGGCCGTCCCAAATCATGGCGCCTGCCTGAGAGCTGTGGCAGCGCCCCCTTGACATTGTGTTGTGCTTGAGCACATCGCAAGCTTCTTCAACGGTCGCTCGCTCTGCCAGCTGCCTCCCCGCACCCTGGGTGCTGTCCAAGCCAAAGCACAAGCAAACCAAAACACAAGCAAGCAAGCAAGCAATCCAAGTTCATAGAGGTTGTTGTGCAACCGCTGGCGCTTGCATCAAGGTCACTTTCAAGATCAAAACACATAAGTTACGAAAACCTTGCACTTTATGCAGATATCGTTTTAAATGAATGTGTACTAACGGTAACTTTACGAAGATAATATCGTGGTTTGTGTTGCGAGTCACTGGGCTGGTCAGGTCAACCGTATCGCCTCTTCTCTCTGACTTTTGCTTCTTATTTCTGTTGTGCACACGCTTGCTCCTGCTCGACTCTCTGAACGATCAAGATCCGTTGATTTCCATCTTGATGCCTCTCTACATGTACATCTGCGTACGAATTCAACGCATCCTCTGCTTTTACCTTTCGTAATACATGTTGTCTTCGTGGCCTCGGGGTCTATTCTCTGAAAATACTCTGCGTTTTCTCAATGTCTCTGTCTCTCGCTCGCTTGCATTTCGCTCTCTCGGTACGCGCGCGCCCGCATCGGCGGTGCAAATGGCAGAGCCATCGGCATCCTGTCAAACGACAACGCTTCTCATCCCTGACCCGGTCACATGCCTCGTGCCCCTGGCTTGGTTTCTCGCTGCCTTTCTCTCACACTTTTCTCTCTGTTTGTCTCGCTCTTTCTTGCAGTTGAAATATCGTCGTCCGCTGCCCCGAGCCATCGGTCAGACCGGCGGCGACGCGGCTTGATCATTCATCATCGTCGCCCAGAAACATCATTTGCCAGAGCCGGAACAACTGGCGTTGGCCTTGGCCTTGTACCTTGTGCGGGCCGCCTTGTCCGATACGCCCCGCAAAGCTGGGCCGTTTTCCCGGAGCGTGACATCTTGCCCATCCGCCCCTCTCCTCTGCCTCTGCCTCTGCCTCTGGCTCTTGCTGCGCTGGTCCCTGCCTTTCGTTGACGACTTGATTGCAGAGGCGCGCGCGCGCACACACACACACACACCATCACTCATCATGGAGGACGATGATCAGGTTGGTTCTCGGGTTTTCGTCGAGCACACACGGCTTGTCGCGTGACTCACAGGCGTCAATCGTTGCCTCACCCGATATACACAGGCGCCCCAGCCCTATGTGCTCCTTTCCATAATTGCCGCCACGTTGGTGGGCACCGTTGGTGGGTCAATGCGCCAAGAGCCGGCTCTGCGCGTTTGCTGCCCGCCACAGCCGTTCTGTCGCATGATAACAGTGTGCCTCTGACTCTTGCTTTAGGCGTGCTTCCCATCTTGGTGGTACCCGCCAACCAATTGAGCCGGCGCGCCGAAGATTTTCTTGACGGTAAGCGACTGCACGCCATGTCCCAGCCCGCCATGACCACAGCATTGGCACGCCAACGCCGAGGATTGTCAAGGCACGCCAGTTCACCTTTTTCATTTCCCATCTTCCTGCACCGCGCTCGCCAGGCGTGTGGCTTCGCTTCTTCTTGGGGTTGGCCTGCGGCGGGCTATTGGGCAACGTCTTTTTGCATTTGTTGCCCGAGGCCATGGCCCTGGCAGCCCGCCGCAGCTTCAAGGCGGCCCAGATTGAGATTATGTTGCGCAGCGGGGACGATACCGCTACCCCCCAGCCCCTGGCGGCACTGGCCCATCCACACAGCCTGGCCGATCCCAACGTTGCCACTGGCCTTGCCCTCATGGCCGGCGTCCTAGCCTTTTTCTTTCTTGAAAAGGTTTGTGCCGGCATCCTCCATCTGAGAGCCCAAACTCCCAAACGCCCAAACGCCCTGGGCCCAGATTGGTGGGCGCAGAGACTTGACAAATTCAGCGACCCGACTCGCACTCATCGGCTCTATCTCTATGACCTCGCAGATGGCTACCATGTTTGGTGAGGGGGATCATCCCTCGAGCCCCCACGCGGACAAGAATGTTAAGCGCGTGTCCATCACGGGCTATCTCAACATTTTAGGTAGGCAGCAGCGGCGATTAGACCGGAACGACCCTGCCTTGTCTCATTTTGCCTTGTTCTGGTTTCTCTAGTCAACCTTTTGGATAACTTTACCCATGGCTTGGCCGTGGCCACGGCCTTTTCCATCAGCTACGAGGTTGGTAGCCTTTGCCGCACCTTCATGTGTATGCGTCCCGCCCCAGCGCGCCTGGTTATTTCGACGCCATGTGTCCCCAGAGGGCCGAGACTCACGGATCGTGGGCTGCCGTCCATCGTGGTCCTTTAGACCGGAGTGATGACTACGGCTGCCGTCATCGCTCATGAGATCCCCCATGAGGTGCGCCCGTCTCGCCTCGTCCCGGGCGCCACACGTCCTCTGACTGCTCTGACTGGGCTCACCCTCACCTTGAACATGCCGTCGCTCGGACATCTGGTCAGGTCGGCGATTATGCCATCCTCATCCGGAGCGGTTTTAGTGTGTACGACGCCATCAAGTCACAGCTGCTCACGTCTTTTGGCAGGTATGATTGAGTCTCCCACCATGTAGAACGATTCTTTTATTTATATCTAGCTCATCCGATCTCCGACATTTGGGTTGGTCCGGTGTCTTGCGTCGTTGGTTTATTTTTAGTATTGCCGGTGCGGTGGTGGCCTTGTCCATGGACACACATTCAACCAAGTTTCTGATCTTGCCCTTTACAGCGGTATGTTGCCGATACCGCAAGCGCTTCGCGCCCGCGCGTGCTTGTCGCTGGCTCTACGCCTTTTGTTTTAGTCTTGTGTCAGGTTGTGTACAGGTTGCTGAGCTCATTGATGCCCATCAACACAGGGCGGGTTTCTCTATGTGGCACTTGTGAGCCTGTTGCCAGATTTACTCGAGCCGCACAGGAGTTGGCCCTGGTTTGCCGACGTGGCCAGTGTCTTGGGAGGCATTGCCATTGTCACCTCGACCATGCTCCTCGAGTCTTGAGCGTCAGCCAGTCGTCATCCTTATATCCTTACCAATCATTTTAGTCTTTGTTTTTCTTCAGCCTGAAGATCGGGGTTGGTGTTCCCTTGGTTGTGTCTCATACTCGTGTCAAGGATCTGTCCGTAAACTGCGCCCGAGTGCACGTGGCCGTGCCATCTGCCTCTTGACGTGTTGTGTTTTATTATGTTCTGCTTGTGGTTGTTGTCTAAGCTACGGCTTTGCCTCGAGGGCAAAGCCTCATCCTCGAACAGCACTTTGGTCGTTGAACGACAAGCGTTGCTTCGGATTTTTTTTGTGCACTGCCCTCCAATTGTATCCACCCTAATCTTTATCCTCTCAAAGTCGACTGACCTCGAGCCGAAAGCCATGTTCGTGTTCGTCCGTGCCATAAGGACCTTGCGCGCAAACCTTTGCGTAATTGGGGACAGCCGACCCCCAACCTGATCCATCTGTTCGAAAAAGCTGTTCCGGCATAAACTGTTTAAAACAGCTGTTTGAACAGGTACTTTGGTCTGAAAGAGGATCTGTATTGCTTTCACCCAAAAGTCGATGGCAGAACAATACAAGTTTTCATACAATGCAGGTCGAATTTTCGCCTGTCCTACCTTCGGAAGTGCAACACGAGTATTGGATGTGTTTGCGATTGAAATTCAGTACAATGTGGAAACATCACGTTAAAGCTTCGTGAACTTGTGTTTATAGCCTTGATCGGGTAGGAAAGACATCTGGCGGTCGGTGCGGTCCGCCGGGTTTATACAGCAAATGGCAGTCCAACCTCGGCACGATACGGCAGGTTGGAAAAAAACAGGCGTGTGTCTCAGCGAGTTGGCTTCTATGGTAATTTCGGTACTCGAATGTTGAGACTGACCCAGAGAGAGGAGAAAGAGAGAGAGAGAGAGAAATTTGCATAGACTGAGACAGATATCGAGAGACATCGAGAGGGAAAAGAGAGAGACAAGAGATAAGAGAAAGACAGAGACAAGAGATAAGAGAGAGACAGAGAGATACATAAAGATAAGAGAGAGAGGGAGATAGAAGAGGGAGAGAGAGAGAGAGAGAGAGAGAGAGAGAGAGAGAGAGAGAGAGAGAGACAGAGAGAGAGAGAGAGAGAGAGAAGAGAGAGAGAGAGAAAGTTTGAGAGATAGGGAGAGAGACCAAAGACAGTGTGACGTAGGAGACGCAGAGACACAGATGGTGGACTCAACAAAAACGCACAATAAGAGAAACAACTGAAACAGGAAAACCGTTAGAGCTGTTGGGCGGTGGAAAAGTTTGGTCACGTCCAGCACGTGACTGACCAAACGCATGATGCATGACCAACGACCATACACACGACGCGCAGAGCCGCCTTATGCTTTGGTAGAGCGCTGCCATAGACTGCCATATGTTCAAATCGACTTGGAATGGCAGTGCAGGTGGCACTCGCTTCAACGTGCATCGTTTCTTAATCATATACCCTGCCTCTGCCATTCGGATCGGACCGCCACTCATGCGTCAGTAGTGTTGAAACGACAGCTTCCAGAGCCCTCTCTCTCTCTCTCTCTCAGCTCTCTCACACCATGTGGGCGTTTGCTCAATGGTCTTACACGCGTGCGTGTGGTGCCTTGTTGGTTTGCTACCAAACTTTGGCTTACACACCTTACACACCACACACCCCTTACTTACACCTTAAACTTTTACCTTACACACCTTACTGACATTACCTTCTTTTGTCTGTGCTTTTTTTTTTCATTGTCTTGTTTTTTTGAATTGTGTTTTCACATGGCTTCTGTCTCTTGCCGCTGGATCGGTTGCAATCCACATCTCTGGTCTCCACATGTTTCCCTACGTTAAAACTCCTGCTTGCCGAAAAGAAACGTTCCTCTCTCTGCCAATGGGTTCCGAAAGACCACGCTCTCTGACCCACACGCTGTCCACAGCCATCACGCTCACATCATCGGTCAAGCTGGGCATTTAGAATTCTCTCTGTCGTGAGTAGATCTCGGTCGCGTTGCCGTCACTGGTCGTCGTCGTCGTCGTCGTCGTCGTTGGGACATGTCTTCCGACTTGGCCATCATGGCTGCCGTCTTGTCTCGATGTTTTGTCCGTGTGTGCGCTCTTTGTTGTCTGCCCCAGCACATGATTACAGCGCTTCTGTTACTGTCGGAACATCCGTTCTTGTGTGACTGCCACTGGAACGTCCACACCCAACCCCGCCTCACGATATGACCCAGCCATCATGTCTGCGTCGTTGTTCATTCTGGCCGTTGGTACTGAAGAAGACATGTGTGCGTGTCGTGTCTTTTCATCCGACGGCGCCGATCAAACCCACCATCAGTGCTTGAACATGACGACCCTCTTCTTGTTGCTCTTGCCTGTACACATGTTTCTTTGAGGATCGTTGATCTCTTGAGGTTCATTGGCGTGCATGTTACCCCCTTGCCCGTCGATTTGCCGAGAGTGGAAGATCTCGCACGGTCCATCGGGCACATTGGTCCATTGGTCTTCTGTTTGTGGTTGGCCCCTCTCTCATACAGAGGGCAGTCACTGACGGACGGTCGTGGTACCTGCCGCCATCGTCCAAGGGTTGTTCCTTTTTCGCTTTACCTTGGTTTTTGTGTACCAGATAAGCCATGTTTTTCACTTCACAATGCTTCAGATCTTCACATGTTTTGAGGCGCACCCTCTATTTTTAACATTTTTGGGTCTCGTTTCTCATTGTTTCTCTTGCAACGACGTTTCTCTTTGTTTTCCGTTGAATCGGTTGATTGTCACACTCCTTTGTTCCCACTTGTCTCTCTTTGTTTCACAAGCCCCAACGGTTTTGTTTCACTTTCACATGTTTTTCTTTTTGTTACCCATTCAAACAACACACAACAGGTGGGGTGGTCAGCAGCAATGTTCACTTGACACACCACCCTACACATACAAAGTGGTGCTCGTGCTTCCCACCCATTCGGCTTGACAATGTGTGGTGTGATGGATGTTTATCGTGCTTCGATGCGCGCCGTCTGATAGTAGCTCGGCCTAATCTCACTGCATTTTTCTGTTACCTGCTCCTTCCTTTCTAGACAGCCTGGTCTCGAAGCGCCAGTAGAAGCCAAGAGTTCTTCTGCTGCCAACGCGCAATCATGGCGACTTCGTAAGTGTTGTGGTGTGCTCGTGGCGCTCTTCAATGAGAGAAAAGACACTGTTGAATTCGCAGCGCACTGTTTGTGGTACCGTGTGACTTGTGCCTCTCATCACGAACCCGCTTTTGGTGCCCTTGTTGCATTTTGATAGGACTACCTGGCTTTTGGTGCTTGCCGTGGCCGCACTGGCCGGCACCACTGAGGCTGCTTGCAATGCCACCTTGTGGAATGGTCACGAGTATTACTACTCTCGTGACCACTTTGGTCATATCCTGGTTAACTTCACCACTGCACGCGCCTATTGCCGCACTCTTGGCGGTGATCTTGTCTCCATCAACAGCAAGGCCGAAAACGATTTCGTCTTCTCCCTCAACGCCACTACCTTTGATCGCCGCTGGATCGGTGTGCAATACAACACCAGCCAAGGTGACTTTGTCAACGTTGATGGCTACCTGGTCGACGATCTGATCACCACGTACTACACCCCTTGCGACCCCGATACCACCTGCCTTTGGTTCAAGGGCGAGCCTAACAATGCCTTCTCCGACGAGAACTGCGTTCAGCAGGGTCACCTCAACCCTGCTCGTGCTAGCAACCCTGGTGGCTGGAACGACGCCGATTGCACCAAGGACCGTGCGTTCGTCTGCGAAGCTGAGCTTTCGCCCGCGTGCATGACCACCACCACCTCCACCACCACCACCTCCACCACTTCAACCACCACCACCACCACGGTCACGACCAGCACGTCCACCACTTCAACCACGAGCACCACCACCACCACCATCACCTCCACCAGCTCCACCTCCTCCACCAGCTCCTCTTCCTCTACCAGCTCTACTTCGTCCAC